AGATTCCTCTTCAAATTTTCTCGTACTTCATCCACAGGGAATGGAGGGAGGAAAAGAGGGAGGGAAAGGGGGGGTGGGAGGACGGGAGGGCATGACGGGTGAGGTAACCATGAGCGGGCGAGGTATGGGAGAAGGCGGATGCGGCTTGGTGGATGAAAGCTTTTATTTCGCATACCCTGGACCGCAATCAGTGGTCGGTAGTAACGGCGAAGTGCCGCCGTTGCCGGTCTCGGAGAATCTGTTTTGAGAGACGGAAGGCAAATAAGGACAGGCACGGTGGAGTAGGCGAGGGAAAGGAAGAAGACAAGGAGGTGTCTTGTGGAGGTGGAGGCAAGGGCTGAAGGGGCGGAGGACGGCTCAGGGCCGAGGGGGGGGGGCGGTCGCGGGAGAAGAGGGGCGTAGGCGGGAAGGGGAGGAATTTCGATGGAGTCTCCTCATAGGGGAAAGGTTGTGAGATTACGACAATGAAGCTGGCTTAGACACGCAAAAGAGAGGAGAAACGGGAGTCTTGGGGGCGATGAACTTGCGCCTAAGAGGACCCCTGGGCCCATGGAAACACACAATTTCACGGTACATACATGCACAAAAAGAGAAATAGAGACCAACAAAGTGGTAGCATTGATTGGAAAGAGAAAGGGCGGGTGAACAAGGGTCGTCCGTGTAGAAAATCGAAGAGGAGCGTTGAGAAGCGCCTGAATGAAGACCGCAGGGACACGAAGGGTGAGCAGCTGTACAAAAGGAGAGACAGAGAAGAAGGCCTTGGGTGAAATGATGTAAAGCGTATAAATGTAGGAATGAGAGAGGGAAAGACAAGACTGCTTTCTTTGGTTTTTGCAATGTCTTATCCCGCGAGATTGAAAGAGGCAGTTCGACGGGCGGAAGAAGTGAATTTTCACGTATTGCGGGGGAAAAATACCCTCCAAACTTCTAAACCTTGATGCGTTTACATAATTGAAGGGAAGCAAGAATTGTGTCAACATGTGAAAAAAGAGAGAGGACGCGACCGAAAGGTTGTCACGCGCGCTTTTGGAAAGGAAAAGTGAGGACTTCCTCCAGAGTTCTGGCACCGCTTGTTTACGTTGTTGTTGCGTCCGTTGTTGTGACTTCGTTGTAAGAAATTTCCTAAAAAATGCAGACATTCATATTATATAGAGGTCACAATACCCCCCTAAAGCTTGCGAGGAGGGTTGGTGTTGGTCCATTCCTATCCGTGTACTGCCGCCGCCCCCGGCATCCCCCTCGCATTAGTTTTGCTTATCCTTACCGTAGGCTTCGAAAACCTTTTGGTCCTTGAAAATGGTCGATATATATTATATAGGAGTGAATGTAGTCTATATACGATGCAATGTATTATATCTAGACATAGAAAGACACAAACAGCGTCGTTGTGTCCGTGTTAATGTATGCCTGAATTTTAAGGAGCACGTCTATCCTAATCGACGTTTCTATCTTGCCCTTGCGCCTGACCTCTTTTTCCCGTCAAGCGTGCTTTGAGTCGTTACTTTATGACCATTTATCCATACTCCCACGTTCCGTTAAATGTTTACGCCCATTCCAATCCCTCAAAGATTTTGGGCAAATCCCATCGACGTTCCGTGGAAAATATCAGATACAACCGGTCTACCCGGTACTTTTGTTCCTTCTCCTCGTCCAACGAGGGGGTACTGGCGGGCAGTGGAGAGAGGGAGGAGGTGGAGGGAGAGGTGGAGACCTTACTGACTGCAATGCCGGAGGCGGCCAAGTAAGGAATACCGGGCGAGGGGGCGCAGAAGGAGGAGAGAGAAGGAGGAAGGCCAGGATGGGAGGACCCGCTTGCGGTAGACGCCATGACCCCGGCCGAGGAGGCAAAGGCAGGGCGAAGCTCCTCTTCAAAGTACGACGTGCCGTTCTTTTCCCCCGCCAGCCGACGGCGAGATTCTTTGCTGGAAGCGTACAGCACAGCCATCCGCCCAGTTTTCTTATGCATGGCTGTCACTTCCGTGCACAAGCAATGCTCCAGTCCTGGCTCGTGGGCGCGTTCGAAGTAATCCTTGATGGTCTCAAAGCGACCTGGGAACAAGGGGGGGAGAGAGGGAGGAACGGTGGCAGAAGAGGGAAAAGAGAGGACGAGTATGAGAATTTGGGATAGGAGCCTCAGGGAGGAGCGAGTCGCGAGAGTAGCTTTAGGAAAGACCTTCATGCTCTTTTAAACTTGAATTCAAAAAGTCAAAACGCACCGTGGACAGAATCCCGGGAAGCCGCCGAGAAATGCCAGCAGGAGGCAAAGCCAGTGACCGCGAGCTTTGTCATCCACCGCCCTTCCACCCCGACTCCTTGGTGCATGATGCTGACGCGTCCGTAGGAGCA